AATATATCAACCGGTGGAGAGCTCTAAGTCTTGACTGCAAGGACAAACTCACGGAAGTATCTGCTGTGGAAATGTGCACTCAAGGCATGAATTGGAGACTTCTTTATATCCTTCAAGGGATAAAACCCCGCACATTTGAAGAACTAGCAACTCGTGCTCATGACATGGAGATAAGTATTKCTAGTAGAGGTAATAAAGAGCCTCTGGTCTCAGATGTGAAGAAAGAAAAGAAGGAAATGAAGAGCACAGAGAAGATCTCCAAGGAAAAGAAAAAGCGACAAGATGGAAATGTAAGACGTCGCCCATCTCTAGAAGAAAGACAAGAAAAAGTTTATCTTTTTCCAGATTCTGACCTTACAGATATGTTAGAGCAACTACTAGAAAAGAGACTCATAGAACTTCTTGAATGCAAACGACCTGAACAAATGGGAAAAACAAATGATCCTAACTATTGTGTATATCATCGAGTCATTAGTCATCCAATAGAAAAATGCTTCGTTTTGAAAGAACGAATCTTGAAGCTCGCTCGAGAAAAGAAGATTGAACTGGATCTTGATGAAGTGGCCCAAGCAAATCATGCTGCGATAATCCCAAGTTCTGGCAGCCAGTCGTCCACAATCTCATTTCATGACGATGAAGTGGTTTCGATCCAATTTGGGACCTTCAAACCTATGGCCATTTCATCCCAACATACGGCTCATAGGAAGAACTTTCAAGAAAAAGACGAATTTACAGAGGATGGAGAAGGAGAATGGACTCTTGTAATTCGTCGGAAAAAGCAAAAACAAAATTGCTTCAAGAAAGAGTCTCGCCTATATCGAGACCAAAAAAGAAGAAGCAAAACTCAAAAGAAAAGGAGAAATAAAAGTTTGAGGAAACCTATGCTGGTCGTGGAAGAGAAMAAATATATTTCTCGACCTCGACAAGTGATAACTTTGGAGGATTTCTTTCCAGTTTCCTTAATGATAATCAAGAGGACACCTTTGAAATAGTTTCTTGTCACACTATCACTATAACTGACAATGACAATGCTTCTACAAGTTCAACAGAAGCAACGACAAAGTCAGAAGGTA